CAGCGGCCCCGCGCCCGAGCCCCTTCCCTAGGAGAGAAGAAGGTCCCCTGGAAACTAGGAGAGACAGCCGAGGGAGATGGCAGCAGCCGAGGGTAGAGAGGAGTCTCTAGTTCTGTCTCCGTCTCAGTCTGTCACTCCCTACGTGGGACTCTGGTCTCGCCCTAACTTTCTCTTCCTGTCTCTTTCTGTGAAGCTCCTGTGTGTGTCTCTCTAACTCCATTCCTTTCATTCTGTGTCTGTCTTCATACGTCTCTCTTCCTCCCTGTGGATCTCTCTGTCTCTCTTTTTCTTGGCTTACTGCTGCTGGAGGGGGCGCAATTCCAATATGGCACCCAGAGCCCCAGACATACTTAGCCTTCCTTTCTCTGATCAGAATCCCCTTTGCCTTGTCTTGGAACCGGGTGGACCCTGTGTGGCTCCTCTCAAGAGAAGTCCAGGGTGTGCTGATAAGGCTCTTTGTCTTCTCAGTCTGGGGCAGGAGTAGTGTGAAGCAGAGACCTCGACCGTGGCTAGGCCCCCAGGACTTCTTAGTTGAAGGCTGCATTTGGGGAATTGGGGGGGGGAGAGAAAATTGTCTTCTATCCTGATTTAAAAACCTGCCGCTCTGGGAAGCTAGGGCTCTAAATCTCCACGTATATAGATTCCCGATACATAGACAGAGATGCATCTTATATGTTCAAGTTTTGCCCGGCTGCAGCGTTTGTTCTCAGGAATTTATTATGGTATTCAGACTAAACTGCTGGAAAAATAAAAGGAGCAAAGTCTTGGCTAGGAGCTGAAGAGTCCCCAGCAGGGTATGACGCCAGGAGTGTTGTAAAGACTGTCTGTCCTTAGAGAAGGTACCATTGTGCATAGCCTCTTATTTATAACTTGGTAAGTGCCAGCGAACTCGCCTCCTTTACACCCCCGAGTGCCAGCCCCGCGCTCTGCACTGCGCTTTATTCGCTCCAGTCTATTCAGGGACTGTCACTCCAGGGCCGCGAGGTATTCAGGGCCTTAATCAATCAAAAGGATGAGAATCGAGCAGGTTTTTTCCCTTTGAAATAAAGGAAACAATGACTTCTGGGCTTCAAGTTCCCCCTTTTCCTTTTACGATTTTTGAATTTTTCCTGGGCCCTGAGTCCTCCGCTCCTCTCTGTCTCCCCTCCCCCCACCTCGTTTGACAGTTTTGACATGAACTCAGGCCCCAACCCTAATTCCCCACCCCCTAATTAAGGCAAACTCAGAAGGCAAGATGGGGGGGGGAGAGTGTAGCTGTTGAACCATCCACAAGTTGGCCCTTTAAAAACCCACTCCCAAGTGTGGAAAACAGACAAGCTTTGGGTACTGCCTGAGGCTGACATTCGGAGCAGCTGAGACCAGCTTCTAGGAGCCCCTAAAATGTCTGGACACCCCCTCTTCCCAACCATGGAGGCCTGTGCATTCGTAGCACCCAGCAGAGATGGGGCTCAGAATAATGCTGCATCTAACCTGGTTTTACATCAAATGATTTAATTTGCCAAAAGGGAAATTTTCTTTTTGAGACTGGCATCATCACAGTCCATGTTCTTATTTCCTAAGCCACTTCTCAGGAATAGCATCTCGATTGCTTCCAAGTTTTCTGCCTCCAAAAGGTTGAGTAGAACCAGACAGAGCACTTTCCAGGGTCAGCTGTCATGGGTGGGGTGGGGGTAAGAACCCCAAGTGTACTTCCTGCTTTGGAAAGCAAGCTCGACTGGGCTTAGCGGTTGAAGAATGTCTCCGCTGAGTCCCCTTTGTTTTTGAGCGGAGGGTTCTGCCTCCAAGCCCTCCTGGCTTTGACTTGGCAATCGGTGGCGGCTGTTTTCAGTGCCTGAAAGCCAGGAAAAGTGCTTGCTACACCCTTGTCTTCCGATAAACTGGAGGACAGGCGACCCTTGAATTAAGCTGCTACCTCTTGAACTGTGTCTGGAGTGCCCATGGATGTGTCAGTCCAGTATGTGCAGTCCGGTGTCCATAAACTATCTGTCACTTGCTATAGAATAGAGGCAGTGAGGCTGTGTAGTGTGGGGACCTGAAGCTGGTGGACAGAGACCTGTTTGCTCTGCTTCCCAGCCCTCCCCCCTGCAGGGCACTCTGAGGTTTTCTTGGTAGCCAGATGATTCATTCAGCCCTTCTCCCAGAGGCTAGAGGGCCCCAAAGACCGGGGAGGAGGGTGGGAGGGTGGGGGTGGACATCCTCAGGCTCCGTACAGCTGGGCCAGTTCCAAAGTCCTTGGGAGTTCAAATTCCCTGGGATCTGTCTCCCAGAAGTAGGGGAAGGCTAGGATCATGCCATGGTGGGAATCTCCCCAGCCTGAGGCGCCCACCCGAAGCCGGATCAAACCTGGCCAGAGGCCAGAGCCCCGGGACTCCGGAGAACTGCTAGCAACAGGTCGTCAGAGTGAGTGCCGGCTGACTTCGGGTGGGTTTCCCAGACTGGTTTCGAAGAACCCCACCCCGTTCAGTAATCACTCTTTCTCCAACTCTGAGGCTTTGACCTCCCTCCTCCTCCTCCTTTCCAAAGTCGAAGCCACCCTACCCCTCAACTCTTTGCAGCTGGAAAGGAGTCTGCACCCTCCCTCGTGGAAGGCCTGGCCGGGGCACAGTTGCTAACAGCCAACGACTGACTCAGTGGTGAGGTTTGCAAGGCGAGGGCTGGCGTCCTACAGCCCGAGCGCAGATAGGAGAGGCAGCACCATTTCTCCAGGCTAACAAAACAGCCCGAGCATCCATAAACGTCTCTACAAGGTTTGTGAGTGTAGAGTCCCCCCCACACTATGTGTGTACCTACAAAATGAAACAGAGGCCTAGGGAACAATAATTGGACTCCCCAAAAGTAAAATAATGTGCCGTTACTTTCTCTGCTGCTTTTGCCCCCGGCTTCTTCTTCCATACTTCAGGTGAAACAGACACGAGCTGTGGATCTTCTTCCCAATCCCAGCTGAATGGCTTCTACCTGAACCATGTAATACCTTCAGTGCACGAGCTCTGCCCTTGAGGACCACCCCCACCCCCAAGCACAAGCATTTTGTGACCCCTGGGCTCCTCTAGGCTGAAGGGTGCTCTCACTTCGAAGTCAGCCTGACACAAATCTTAAAAGGAAATTATGATCTGTGCCATGTAATGTCTCTGAGGCCCCAGACGTGACTGCAAGATGCAGTCCTAGGTGGAGCAAACGCCCCGCAAAACCCTCAGTCTCACAGAAAGGCCACCCTGCGTGCATAGGGAGGAAAACGCTGGGCTCCTGATCACGACCTTCTGAGCTTCCGGGACCCCAGGACCGGACCGGGGCTGAGGAGAAGATACGAGATTGGTGAGTGCGCGACTTAAACCTGTGGCCCCCTGCAGCCACTGCCTCAGCAACCGTCATTAGGCCCCCCTGCAGTTACTTGTCAACCGCCTTGGCGCCACCATTCTCCCCCTCGGAAAATCAGTCAGGAGGAGTTCGGATTTAGGGACTGGATGGAGATTTGGGCGCCACATTGAAATGTGGTCTGGGCCGGCTGCTGTGGTGGGCCCTTTCTCTACCGCTTCTGCTGGGGAGTGGTGGTCGGAGAATGTGGGAGTAGATTCTCAATAAACAGCACATGGTTTGTGAGAAAAAGAAAAAAAGAAGCAAAGGGGGGGGAAGGAAGAAAAAAGAAAAGAGGGGCAGAAATGAGATGTTAAAAAATAATATTTTGAAAGGCAACGAAGAAGAAAGAGGATGAGTCGGCTCGGCAACTTGTCTCCTACAGACGTCTATTTGGGTCTGAGAAAACCATTTGTGTGCAAACAAGGAAGATAAGATACCAGACCTGGATCTTCCAGGGAAGAAAGCATCTTGTACAAAATTAGAGCAAATCTTCTGTAATCTTCCAGAAAGGGTTCTACCTCTAAGAGTTCGTGGAGGAGTTGATGTTTAGAAGAGAAATTCAGTAAGTGTTCTGTTGTGTGTGTGTGTGTGTGTGTGCATGTGAAAGGAGCTGGTACTTGGTGTGCATGTGTGTGGAGGGGAGTTAGGGTTGAGGGGATTTAGCTGGGGGACTGGCCGGTGTTGGAGTCAACCTGAATCTTAGGGAAGAGAGGAAGACTGATCCCGTGGACTTGGCGAATGGGGGGTGGGGGAGCCCAGCTGGGAGAAGTGAGTTAGGGAGTAGGTTTCCTCACAGTAGCAAAAAGGTAGGCAAGTGACCAGTGCAGGAACTCCTGCCCGTGGGAGGACATCTGGACACGAAGAGCAGGGACTGTGTGTCCTTCCTAGGGAGGGCTAGAGGAGCAATGGGTAGGTAGTGGGTGGGTGGGCGCTAACAGTGCTTTTGTTTGAGTCTGACTTCAGGAGCTCCAGGGCCTGGGCCTTCACAGTGAGCCACCGCTACCGCTCAGCCTGGATCCTTTCAACCCCTGTAGGAAACTT